GAGTAAATGAGACTGGAAAGGAGTGATCATGTGTATTGTAAAGTATACATGAAGTGTTAAATTCAATAAATGATCTTTATTGTTAAGTAACCAGAAGGAAAAAAAACACACAGGCTTCAAGGAAACTAGCTGGAAATTTTAGAAAACAGCCAATTATAAATTCCTTAATATAACATTTTCCCTGTCAGTATTAAGCTTTAAAAATTATAGAACAGGAACACCCCTGCAGAATAGGAAAGTTAATGTCCCTTGAATTGTACACAATTAGTAATCTTTCAGAGTGAGACATGGAAGAGTAGATGTGGTGGATAAATTATTTGATGAAGGGCAACTTCTCTTCCACCCACCCACCCCAGGAATTTAAATCAAGACAGAGTCTCTTTAAAAAGTCAAGCAATGGATGTGGAGTATTGTATGGAAAATGTATCTTTGATGAGATCTGAATCTTTGAATTTCACTGGATTTTTAAAACCAAATTCTAACAGTATGTAATGACCCCTTCCTCTTATGAAGTCATAGGACTATTTTAGGGGATGACCTATTTGTCATTTATGACTGAACTGTGGTATATCTTATGCCGTTATCTGTGTTACCTAATTTACACCCTTGTCTGACGTTTCTTATGTGTACGTATTGTCATTCAATTATATCATAACTGCTGAGGACTGGCAGTCTTTGTCTGTAACTCCTGAATCATAGTAGACCATGAGTGCTTACGAATAGATTAGCTCTCTGACTTTTTGACTGATATGAAGAAAGAAAGTGTGAATGGGTATCAGGGTTCAGGAAATAATCCCAGTCTTCTAACTATAATCATTTGATAAATAATCAATCTACACTTTAATAAAATATCTACAGGCACCAAACAGCACAATGCCATGTGGAACAGGTTCTCTACAAGCATTTGTTCAGCTTAAATAGAGTAATACTCCAGTGCCTCTTTCCAGGAAAATACAAACTGACCAGGTTGAAAGATATGAGGTGTGGTATGGGAATAGTAAAAAGTGAAATGGATTTAAGCTATGTTAAAATTCAACTCAGCGAACTCAGCTCTTTGCAAACAAAAGTGTTTAATAGGTCCATCGTGAATAAATAAATCAATGAATTCAGACTAAACTATGTTTGGATTGCTTGTTTGCTTCTTCTGAAACAGTAATAATAAAAATTTTCAGAACTTAATTTTTTATGGCTACAGAGTCAGTAACAGTCTCAGAATGATACTCAGCATATAACATGCCTTTAATGGGATGCTTAAGTAATCATGGCAATTTAATTAAAAGGGCAGTCATCTTTTGAAACAGATATTGTTCCCTGGAGAGTGTTACTTCGTGTTACATTTTTGCAGTTACCTAATGTTTCCACTCACAGAGGTTTGTTTGTTTGCATTTTAAAGAAATTATACATAGTCTTCAACTTACCTCTAGACTTCATTCCAAAAGTTTTCTCAAAATATGTAATCACTCCTTTCCTCCTCCAAACCTGGTGATTTTTTTCAGAGTTCTATAATTCACCTTTTCTATTGCTGATTTAAATATTCTCTCTCAGTGACTTCTTTGCCCCACAACACTTCAGTTACTTAACCTATCAGCCCCTGACAAAAGTATTACATTTCCCTTCTCTCTCTTTAGCTCCAGATTCACTTTTTCAGTTTGACATTCCATGCATACTTTGAAGACAACTTGCCTCCAATCAAAATCATTATTTTCTCCTCCTTATCCTCCTGGATTTCCCGCTTGTTTAATGATACCGTCACATAACTGGTCACAAAGACCAAATCCTTGGAGTCATACTTCGTGGTTTCCCATTGCTTCACTACTTACATCAGATCAGTAAAAAGCTCCATTGACTCGAACTCAGAGATTCTGCCTTAGCTCCAGCTGCTCCTCCCCAGCACCAGTAGCACTGGCTCAGTCATCATTTCCCACTGCTTATTCCAATACCTCCTGGCTGGGTTCATTGCCTCCTGTCCATCCCACTTCAGGCTGCACTCTGTATCAGCGATCCTCATCTGTTTTTCTTCCATGGAGTGCAATGCTCATACATGAGACATATTCTTACGGGCCACTCAAAGATCGAAGAAATAGAAACATTTAGTGAGAAAGTTAAGCATTTAATTATTCCTAGTCTTCCACAGGCCCTTGCAATCTGACCCTTATCTCCATCTCATTTTTGTTGCCCACCCCTCTCGCCCTCATTCATTGACTCCATTGGCCCTTTCCTGGCCTTTCCCATGCTTTTATCCTTTTGATCTCGACTATATTACACCACTTTAGGGTGGCTTTCCCTGAGCAGTCCTTAGTCTAAATTAAATTCATTTGCTCTTCCTCACAGGGCTCATTATAATTTATAATTATGTATTATTTCTTCTTCTGCTTCTGCTGCTTCTGCTTCTGCTTCCTCCTTCTTCTCCTCCTCCTTCCTCCTCCTCCTTCCTCCTCTTTCTTCTTCCTCTTCTTCCTCCTTTTTTCTCTTCTTCTTCCTCCTCCATCTCCTTCTCCTCCTTCCATTTCCTCCTCCTCCACTCCCTCCTCCTCCTCTTTCTCCTCCTCCTCCTTCCTCTTCCTCTTTCTCCTCCTCCTCCTGCTCCTCTTCTTTCTCCTCTCCCTTCTTTTTCTCTTCTTCTTCTTCTTTTTTATTTTGCATTAAGCCTGATTTACCCATAATATTTCTGAATTCTGTGAACTTAGAGAATTTCTTTTATTCACCATTGTGTCCATAGGACCCACACAATATCTGGCAGATACTGGGCACTCAAGAAATATTTACTGAAGGAATGAATCAATTATCACAACTAGTAGTGGTATATCAGTAGACTAGCTAACTGCAGGCAGTGACACAGCCCAATCTGTGTATTATGGACAATTCCCACCCCTGGAATGTGTATTGTAAGGTTACTAAGAGTCCTGCTATTACAGGCATAATTTTGAATGTTCTCTAACTTATAAGAAAAATAGTTTTATGTGCTAGCACTAGTTAGTCATACATCTGCTGTACGTATTAGGTTTGATCACAGCGGCCTGGAAATCTGTCATTTGGCTACCAGACTTTTCTTCTTTGAAAGTCTACCTAAAGCATAAAGCTTAGCACATACTTCTCCTGCTGATGAACCTAATGGATTCCCCTTGTTTTCAGAATAAAGTCCAAGTTATTTGATGTCTTAGTCTCTTTGGGCTGCCATAATAAATTATTATAGGAGACTGGTGCGGTTTTGGTGGCATGTGCCTGTAATCCTAGTTACTCTGGAGAATGAGGTGGGCAAATCACTGGAGCCTCGGGCTTTGAGGCTACAGTGAGCTATGATCTGGTCACTGCACTCCAGCCTGGGTGAGAGTGACACTCCCATATCTAAAAAAATAAAAATAAAAATTATCATATACTGGATGACTTAATCAATAGTAATTTATTTTTACAGTTCTGGAGGCTGAAGGTCTGAGATCAAGGTGCCAGCATGGTCAAGAGCTGATGAGGGCCCTCTTCCTGGTTCAGTGTCTTTTTGCTGTGTCTTCACATGGCAGATGGTGCAAGAAATATCTCTGGAGTCTTTCTTATAAGGACACTAATCCCATTCATAAGGACTCTACTTTCATGACCTAGTCACCTACCAACAGTCCCATCTCCTAATACTTTCACACTGGGGATTAAGTTTTAACATATTAGCATTCAGACTACAGAATTTGGCACGTCTAACAAAGCCATTCTCAAGCTGGACCTGGTCATTGTTTCCAACTTCAGACCCAGCCAGTCTCTACCATAGGCCATGATTGTGCTAGGTTTTTACATACTTTGGCCTCCACCAGACATGTTCCACTTTGTCCCCACATGGATGTATATTTGCTCTTTAAAATTCAGCTCTCACAAGCACTTTAGTTACTCCTTCTTCTGTGTTCTGATTATATTGAATATCCTATTAATTATATACTTTATTATCTATTCCATGGTAACTTATTCAAATGCCTATTTCCCAGACTAGATGGTAACTCCTGGATTAGACTATGCATTTCCAGTGTTGAGCCCAGTGCATAGAGTATAATGGCATCTAATAACAGTTGGATGACTGAGTGCATTGTCAATTGTTTGGAAGTAAAAATGCCTTTGCCTACTGAAGCAATGCTATAAATGGTGATTTAATTCTTAGCTGACTTAAAAAAATACTGTTTATACCATAATGCAATTGAAACCTATTGCTAATATTGCTTTCTCATCTAGTTTCAGAATGTTCTCTCTCTGTTTCACTGCAGTTGGGGGAACCTCTTTCTTCTCCTCCTACCCCAGCCCAGAGGCAGAGATCTTTTCTATGCTTTTCTCTTTTGTCCCTCATTGCCTAAGAAAGAGAGGCCAAAATAAGGGTTCTTTCTTTTTATTTACAGTGAAAATGAGATGGTATTTCTGCCATTTTCATAGTGGAGATGTATGTCAATCAAGAGTTGGCATCTTTGGGGTTTGCCTGTGTCTTATATAGTCTTGAAGAACACTTGTCACATAAGACATTTTTATGCTGATGCGTGAGGATCTTGCTGCAGTTCTATTAGCTATACAATGAAATTAACTTTAAGAGAAGTCTACTAGTAAATTAAAGTAGCAAAAGGACCTTGCTACTTAATAAGGGTCTCAACTATAAGACATACTCATACTTTTATTAATTCTGTCACTTGTCCTTTGGCTTACGTTGCATAAATCAAAACAGCCCTTCCTCTTTCCACCTTTTGACTCTCATCACACGTCTTATACATCTTGGTTTTCTTAGATATATCCACAAAAATAATGTTTAAATTTTGGGAAAGAAACCCATGTCTGATTAATAATTATTGCCATTTATTTGGTGAATATATTATAATGCAAACAAACACAATTGCTCTTAATAGGTGAGACTGACACATATTTTGAGAAATAATATTCATACAGAATTATGTGCTTTTATAAAGCAGCTAATTGAGTTTGCTAAATAAATGCTCTTCCTGAATCACCCCCTCCCCCCGCCTTTTTTTTTTTGTTTTAAATAGGTGGTGTTTGCATTGCTCAGTCACAGAAAATCCCACGTGAACCAAGACCTGGAGAATTTGAAAAAATTATCAAACGCCTGCTAGAAACACCTAATGCTCGAGCAGTGATTATGTTTGCCAATGAGGATGACATCAGGTGCTGATTACTTTTCTTCTGTATGTAGGGTCAGATCTGTGTCCCATATCCTCTTTCTAACATATTTCATGTTCAACATAAAAGCTTGTAATTCCCTTCCAATAACAGACTGCCTTCTGCTGCCTCGTAGTTTGTAAATCTGAAATACCTACAGAGTAAAACTTGGGGACTGAATGAGATAAGACAAACAAGGGTGATAGACAGAATGGTGTGAATGAGGTTAAGGATAAGGCTAATTAACATGTGTTGGAGTTAGTCTCTGCTATATTGCCTTTAGGAGATGATAAGACGCGGGCAGTTAGAATGATCATCTTAATTGTTAAACAGTGACCTACTGAGTGTATACAACTTCCCAAAGCTGTTCTTGTAATATTCATAATTGTGGTACTTTTAATACATGTGATATGCATTATTTATTTTTATTCCTATAGGAGGATATTGGAAGCAGCAAAAAAACTAAACCAAAGTGGGCATTTTCTCTGGATTGGCTCAGATAGTTGGGGATCCAAAATAGCACCTGTCTATCAGCAAGAGGAGATTGCAGAAGGGGCTGTGACAATTTTGCCCAAACGAACATCAATTGATGGTAAGAATGCACCATAGAGAATTTGTTTCATTGCAGTTGGATCTAAACTCAAAGGCAAAATTGGAGTATCGTAATATGAGGAAATGCACTCATTACTGATGACTTGATATAAATTTTAGCTTTGGTGGCAGAATTGTCAAGACCAGTATTTAAACCAGCATGCACATGCATAAATATATATACACACACACACACACACACGTATTATATATATACACACATATTTATTATATTTATATAGTGCGTATGTGTATTTAGGAAAGAGTCCCCATTAGATTTTTTTTTAAGAAAAAGGCCATAGTCAGTTACTTCGATTATGTTAGTAATTGCACTTTGAATTTGAGTTTGCTTATTTTCATGGGCATTTATGGTAGTCATAGCGTTGTTGGAGGGAAGATGCTTGATTTATAGAAAATGAATATATGATGCTGGGCCTATCCTATGCATAAATAAATGCAACAGGAAAGACTTGGAGCATCCTGAGAGGCAGTCTATCTTCTAAACATATTTTCCAATCAGTTTGACAGTAACTGAAATTCCCACTTTTAACATTATCCTTTGGAGTAAGGCATTATTTCCAGGGGATCTCCCTTCAATAAAGTGGTTACCTGAGCAAACTGACACTTGAGTTCTCTTACCCATGACTCCATAAGATGACATTAACATGATTGCTTTATTGAATTAGCTGAAAACAGAACATACAGGAGAGAAAAATTTTGAAGTATGTGGAAACACAGGAAAGTCTGGAACATTGATCCCTGCTAGGAAAGAGGAAAGAATGAGGGAAGTTTAAGTTGGGTTCTGAGTACTCAGGATTCAGCATGAAGTCACTGGTTCCTGTCTCTGGGAGAAGTAGAGTAGGGGAGGGTATAAGAAGGACACTGATACCAGGCTTTCCTGTTGTACTTATTCATAGATCCAGGAGCTTGAGTAGTGGTGATGGTGCGGGGGGATTGTCCATTGACCCTTCTTGGCTTTTGCCATAAGAGAAGCCTTGTTTATGGGCTACTGGCTTTCTCTCATTTGTTATGTGTCTGTGTGTGTGTGTGTGTGTGTGTGTGTGTGTTTCTTTTCATGCAGTGATTACAATATAATGTCCATTCGAAAGTTCTGACAATATTTACTTTTGAAAGAATATTAAAATCTTACCTTTCTCCTTTGAAATAGGATTTGATCGATACTTTAGAAGCCGAACTCTTGCCAACAATCGAAGAAATGTGTGGTTTGCAGAATTTTGGGAGGAGAATTTTGGCTGCAAGTTAGGATCACATGGGAAAAGGAACAGTCATATAAAGAAATGCACAGGTAACCACTCAAATGTTTTCTGTGGTGCATTTGTTTCAGCATTACCTGATAAATGATGTTTATGGATAACAATGAGTATATTTTCTATTTTTTTGTGAGTCTTCTTGTTATAGTGTCTCAGCAGGGCTGAGCATACACTGATCATTCAACAAACTTAAATTTGTTTATTGGTTCTTTCAATCGATCAGCAAGATTTTATTGAACATATACCATGCATATAGTACTGGGGTATCTGGAAAACATTTATTGTCTACTTTGGAAAATGTACTTTATTAGGTTTGCTGGAATACAGACATGGTATTGCTCTCCAAGAGTTCAAAATGTAATATGTATCATAATAAGTTGCTATAAGACAGTATTTTTCAACTATTTTAATCGCTGTCCCCTATAATACTATTATTTTCTTAAATCCTGCATAGTAGCTATCCCAAAACATGCATGATTTTTTGATGCCTTACTTTCCATAGCTTGTGCTTAAAAATAATAATGATATTGAATAAGCATTTTTGAATATATGATTAAAACTATATTTTCAGATGATTGTGCACATAAGAAAAATTGCGTTTAATTTTATTTTCAAAAATTTGTTGAGGGGGTTTTTTTTTTTACCTAGGCTGGAGTAGAGTGCAGTGGCGCAATCTTGGCTCACCGCACCCTTCGCCTTCTGGTTTCAAGCGATTCTCCTGCCTCAACCTCCTGACTAGCTGGGACTATAGGCGTGTGCCACTATGCCCGGCTAATTTTTGTATTTTTAGTAGAGATGGGGTTTCACCATATTGGCCAGGCTGGTCTCAAACTCCTGACCTTGTGATCTGCCCACCTCGGCCTCCCAAAGTGCTGGGATTACAGGCATGAGCCACTGTGCCTGGCCCAAAACCACATAATTTTAAAAGTTACCTAGAACTGAGTAGTAAATTTAGCAAGGTTACAGCTATGAGGTCAATATAAACATTCATTTTTAATACATATATTAGAAACTAGCACATAGAAAATGAAATTTAAAGAATACTTCTTATAGCAGTATCAAAAGCATGCAACATAAGGGTCAATTTTAACAAAAATGCACAAATCCTTTACACTGAAAACTACACAACTTGAATGTGTGTTTCAGAAATGATTCATTCCTTCTCCTACCCCGCCACCCCCAGACTTTGATATGTCCTCCTTTCCCTCCTCCTCACTTTCTTTGGAAATAGCTGTTCAAATAAAAGATGTAATGTGCTAAAAGCTAGCACAGACATATAAACAGAGACAGAATAAGGAGGTGGAAATGGGTGCCACGCTGTGGAGGAATCTGATTTCAGGCTTCCGTGTGCCAGGCACTTTTCCAGGAGCTGGGTTGAGTGAAGAAAGGCAATATTCATGCGCATGCGGCTTACATTTGAGTGTGCGGAGACGGACACTCCATAATAAACATGAATGAACAGATGTGTTCAGATGCTGAGATGTACTTAGAAGAAATACAGCAGATTAACTGTGAAAGACTCACCTGGGTACTAGGAGGAGGAAGGTAATTAGATTGTGTGGTCCGAGTATGCTTTGCCAGAGGAGGTGACATTTGAGATAAGACCTGAATGACAAGAAGTGGTCAGCTGTGTAAAGATATGACAGGAGTGCATGACAAGCTCTGGCGCCGGAGTAAGGCTCTTTTGTTCAAAGTACAGGGGGAAAAAAAATAGTTCAGGGAGGTTGGAGCCAGAGTGAATATCGCGAGAGGAAGCGTGATGACAGCCGAGGCTATGGTGATAGTCTGCAGCCAGGTCATGCACGGCCTTGAAGTTCTTTCTAGAAGTTCCAGAGTTGAGGAATTTGGGCTTTATTCTACCAGTAGGACACAATGTCTTGAGGCTCTTCATTTAGAGAATTGCTCAGACACTTGGTTCTAGAAGATTTGCCTGGCAGAAGTGTCAGGAGGATTGGGGTTCAGGGGAGAAAATGGAGGCAGGTCAGTGAGATCTCATCCAGTATGCTGGGGACAGGCAGTCATGGTCTAAGAAGAGCTAACTAGGGGCCGGGCACGGTGGTGCACGCCTGTAATCCCAGCACTTTGGGAGGCTGAGGTGGGCGGATTGCCTGAGCTCAGGAGTTCGAGACCAGCCTGGGCAACACGATGAAAGCCCGTCTCTACTAAAAATACAAAAAAATTAGCCTGGCATGGTGGCAGGCGCCTGTAGTCTCAGCTGCTTGGGAGGCTGAGGCAGGAGAATTGCTTGAACCCGGGAGGTGGAGGTTGCAGTGAACCGAGATCGCGCCACTGCACTCCAGCCTGGGCAACAGAGTGAGACTGGGTCACGAAAAAGAAAAAAAAAAGAGCTAGGTAGGGATGCAACACAGAGGACAGACGCTCTGGTAGATAGCGTTGTATTTATAGTACCCGCTGAGTGGTTGATGCTGGGGGCGAAGATCGTTAAGTCATGGAGGATGCTGATGTTAAACCTCTATCAGGGAGGTCTAGGAAACTGGTGATGTGATTAGTTAGCAGAGGAAAAATAAAGTAAATAGAATGGTTAGGTATTTGGGAATAAACTTGAATTTTGTTCTGAGATAGCCCCGTGGAACTGGCCAGCAGGTGGCAGCATAAGGTCTGGGACCCCACAGAGAGTTCACTAAAATTTGAGATTAGGGAATCTTGGAGATTTCGAAGTTAAAGACAAAAGCAGAGATGCAATTGCCATGGGAGACTGAGGAAAGATGAGGAGTGATGACTGAGAATTCAAGGGCAGGAACCAGGAAAGAACACAGAGAATGCTGGGCTTGGGGGAAGGAGATGATCCGGGAGTCAAGGTTGTCCCAGTCTCCAGGAGAAAGACGGTGCATGAGGATTCAGTGCTGCAGGGATCTGTGGCTGAGAGAGAAGGGTGTGCCTGGGTAACCAAATTGGAGGGGTTGAGAGAGAACAGAATTGAAGTGGAGGAAGGGATGCTGTTTCAAGAAGTTCTGAGGGAAAGAAAGTAGATATGGTGGGAGAGCTTGAGAATTGAGGAGATTTCTTCAGGATAGGGCACATTTAAGCATGTTTTCAAAAAAAGAAAAGAGAAGGGATAACTAGTGAAAGAGATTAAATGCAGAGTAGGATCTTGATGGAAACTTTAAGGAGAGGCATTAAAGACCAGTGTTACCTTTAAATCATGTGATTTGATTGAGGGAAAAAAGGTACACACAAACATATATGTAATCAGACAGGAGAGTTCTATGATTAAATACTAAATTTGGATATAGATAATTAGGGAAGTTCAGAAAATGTGTGTAAGTTAACATTGTAAAATCCAAAGCTCTGTGGAGGAGATGAGTATTTGATGACAAGAAGGATTTGGGAAAGACATCCAAGAAGAGAGGAAAGGAGGAGGGAGCAGGACAAAGGCATAGAGTAGGGCATGACGTGGAGGTACTTGAACAGCAGTAAAAAGGTCCAGCTTCTTGGAGAGGATGATACATGTCAAGGGATCATGGAAAATACGGAGTTTATAGAAGGATTTGGAAGGAGAATTTAGACACTTACATGCTTTCCACTGAGATATATTTTACACTATGCTTAACTTTGAGTTCTGAATGTTATTGTTTGATTCTCTATAAATTCATTTCCTGTTATTTAGACTGTATTAGTGAAAATACCCCAGTTAATGAAATGGATGAACTCATACACACACACACACACACACACACACACACACACACACACAGAGTTAACCAGTCACATAGCTTTTCAATAGGCTGTTTTCAGAACAACCAGTTTCTCTGAACTCATATTTTCTTTCTTTTTTTTTTTTTAACTTGTAAGTGGGAGTTGAACAATGAGAACATATGGACACAGGGAGGGGAACATCACATGCTGGGGCCTGTCGGGTTTGGGGCAAAGGGAGGGAGAGAATTAGGCCAAATACCTAATGCACTGGGGTCTTAAAACCTGGATGACAGGTTGATAGGTGCAGCAAACCACCATGACACATGTATTCCTATGTAACAAACCTGCATGTTCTGCACGCATATCCCAGAGCTTAAAGTACAATTAAAAGATTTTTTTTCTAAGTTCAGTCAAGGTATGTAGCTGTTCCTTTAGCATTTGTAGATGGTATATGACTAGACTTTCATTTCAGGCACAAATACTGAACTGGTTTGTGGTCAAATCCGGATTCTGTGGCATGTCTGCCTCCAATTCCTTTGATTTATTTGGGTGTTGCTAAAATTATAACAATTTGTCCAATTAGAACTATTTCTAGTGCAATGAAAATGGTGTTTACTCCAAGTGCTAGGGCAAATGTACCCCTAGGGAACTGGGTCAATAAACAGATTTTCATGCAAATTCCATTGTGGGTGATACCAAAATAACTTATCTCTGGGTAGAAAGCAAATAATACTAATTTAATTTTTTAAAAAAGCAACATATGACAATTTTCAGATGATGAGAGAAGATATTTGCCCCCCAAATTACCATTATACCCAGTTTTCATCTCTGTTTTAGGGGAGTGGGGAAGATGATCTGCCATGTTAGTGGTCAAATGTACTTGAAAAATTTACAGGATGTTCACGAGTAGAGGTGTCCGGCATTTGCAGTGTTTTAAAATGTGGCCTTAAAAAGTTTACATTTTAACTACCTGCAATAAGTCAAAAAGTTAAGGCACTCTCTGAAAGTGAGATATCCATGAGCCCCTTTTTGTGCATTCAGAACATCATTGGTAGGTTATATGTGTTAAGTAAAATTTTACATTAGGCGACGGTAATCTGCGAATGTAATTATTTGCTTCCACTGGGGGCAATATTGGCAATGTATTTACATGGATGAGAGAGTGCTTCCCAGCAGGGAGGGGCTTCTCTCTTACCAGTTTTCCAGAGACAGAACATCTTCAAGCAGTGAGGAGCATTTCTTCCTGAAATTTACTCAGTAGAAACAGTTTTCTGAGATAATTTTCCCTTCTAGAATCTCAGGAAAGCTTTCAAAAAGATGTGATATTACTGCTAACTTTTGATTTGCTGGCCAAATTCCAAGTGAGGTAATTCCTACC